GATACGGAACACACTGCAATCAACCGCTGAACAGTTTCCAAATTATTTTCATACGTCGTCCAGCATTGTGCCTTCAGCCGCTATACTGTCTTAGTAATTCTTCAAATAGGAGTAAATGTTCCCTAAACACCAAAGGTTTGAAGCGTGGAAAAATTCCGGGGTGGCTTTATACATGATGCAAGGGAAAGCGAATGGAAAAATGCAAGAAAAGGATAATGAAATTTGATAAGAAGGATTAGAAAGGACAGTTCTTTCAACATAGTGGCGTGGTGATTACACGCGCTAAACAAACTTGCAGTATAGGCTATTGTCCGACAAAAACATTCTCAGTATACAGATAACTGTGGCCATGTCTTCGTACATAGGGCCATGTAATCTAGGACCTTCGCTTTGAGTGTCACTAGCGAACACAACCTTCACCAAAAACAGAAGTGATCCGATGCTAAGATCATAACTATATCGGAATGGCAAAACCGAGATTGCGTTTTTATGGCCTTCTCTGTAATAAAAACGAGGTTTTTTTGTGTTCTCTACCAAATTCGGAACAACATTACTTAAACGACCCCTTCTTAGACTGCGATGGAGTTTCAGAAACTCACGAGGACTATCGGAATTCAATAGAAACGAGAGACTGCGCTTAATCTTGTAAGGACACTCTCGTTTTTGCACGAAAATGCTAGCTTATCGTTAAGACGTAATTTTCAAGACTTGCAAGGTTGCCAGTAATCCTAGTCGCGTCATGACGATCAGAAAGATATATAATGCTGCTGAGTTTCGTTGAGGTCCCGCGGAGATTACGGCCAAAGCAAAAAATCCCGTCGGCTCTGGTCTTTCTCCTCTGCTCGTCTGCGCTCCAGCGCGTTGCGCGCTACCTCGCTATTCCAAATGCGGGGTACGGAGCATTTGGCTCTGGCAAGACTTTCTTCGTTGTTTTGAACTTAATTCCAGCAAATTGTACATTATATTGAAGCTCCTGACCTCTACTTTCACGCTGATAGCGTCGCAAAACCTCAATTTTTTAATTTGAACGAGACTGGCAAAAATCACGTTTTCGAAAACCTTCCATAGATCTTAATTGTGTTCAAAATGTTGACAAAGTCGCGGATCTAATTTCTTCGACTGTGCTGAAATATCTGCTGCAAAAAACTGCAAAAAGTGCGATTTGTTCGTAGGCTTTTATTAAAGTAAGTAAGCAACCATTTCTTACATGCTTGGGGGCGTTTTGCTCAATGTTGTGAGCATTATAAAGCTTACCAAAATAACCACTACTAGAAGGGGGCAGAAACTCAAAGGATGCATCAAAAACTACGGCAGTTTTTATCAATCCTCTGCTCCCTCTCATGCCTGCTCGAAGAACTTACTGTGGAAAGCAGCACGCCGGCAGTGCGAGCGGGCGCCTATCAAAACATGCTGGCGTAAACTTTGCATATCGCACATTCAAACACGCATCGTTTTTTATTGTTTCATTTTTCTTTTCGGCTCTCGAGCACAGTTTTTGCATTAATATGCACCTGTGATTATCATGTCAACAACAGTAAAGTCAAATTAAGGAGTTAAAGTCACTTTTTTTGCAAAGTACCCGAAAACGGCCAATTCGTCCTAAATATCACGCAGTGAATATCACTGTTTGTAGGGCTATTTAAAGCACGGGGATTAGTCAAAATTTCAAAAACGTACAAATCAATCAGAAAGTCTTACCTCTTGGCTGAGAAAACAAAACATATCAAATTGTACAAAATAGAAGGCTGGATTGAATTACAGTAATTATCAGAATTCCCATCACCATACTGTCTGGACCTCACACTAGAACAGTGCATGGGGCTCAAGGGTCCAATCTGGCAAGTTTGGCCATGTCGAGCACGGCAGGCCCGATCTGGACAGATTCGGCTCTGCTGTCCATTAGGGCCATGCTAATCAAAGAAAGAGTTGCACATTCTCGCCTGTCCGTAACGTGTATAACGTTGCAACACGCCCGAACAGCGAGCGGGCGATTGGTAAACACCGCCTTAGGTTGTCTTTGACGTGCACTTTCGAGCTAGAAAAAAAGCAGAACTTTGCGCTTTCATAATTAATTCTTTTCTCGTCAATCAACTTCTTGATATCACCTTAATCACCACTTTTGAAATATTTTTGTTCTCTAGACAACCACAAAGCGTTTCATCAGGTTTCAAATACTTCTGGGAGCCACTGGACTGCAAATGGATAGAGTAAACAGATTGCAATACAGTGAATTTTTGGGCATCTCCACCTAACTTTTGACTTTAGGCGTTTGATTGACTTTCTAAATGATTTTCGTGTAACACGCAACATCAAACGCAGAAAATTTTCAGATGAAATCTCAAGAATCGATCATCAAACAGTAATTGAACAAGCACTGGCGTCCACCGATTCGAATTATCGAATCCCAAAACTTCATTCACAGATATTGCGTTTAAAACTGACTACCATGTTCGTGACACCCGTAGAGCTCTGACGAATTGGGGAGAAAGGCTGCTTTTCAGAAAAAGGATAGAAAGTTGCGTAGCATTCGAATGCTCGCCATCAGATGTTCGGGTGTGGCGTTAGGTACCCAGCCGAGATACGAGGAATTTGTACCTCGGCTGATTACTGGAACAACCCATAGAAAAGTATTCAGTAAATCTCTCATGTTTTAACTAGCGTTAAAACGTTATAAAACAACAAAATATGTGTTACTAGCTGGCTTACCTGGCTCCGCCCCGCTCTGTCAAAAGACTCTGATAAAAGTTCCATCCCTATCCCTGTACAACCTTCCCCTGTGCCCATTTCTACATGCCAATTCCCCCTATTTCCGTGCTGTGTTAATAATCAGCATGCTCACTTACTCCCCCCTGCCAACTCCGAGAACGTCGAATTTTGCAAAAAATAGGTAAAATTGATGAAGGTAATCGACAATTCAAAAAACCAATATTGTATTCGCAATCAGCATGCTCGATTACCCCCTGTGCCAACTTCCAGCCCCGTAGCTTGAACTCTGCAAAATCGATGAAATCGATAAAACAGATATCGATCGATAACGAAAAGTAGCTCACGACACGCTTCCTGCCCCGAAGTGTGGCTCAACGCTGTATATCTAACAAGAAGAGGATACTTAGTCGAAAGCACTGATCCAGATGAGACATACATTATCTTAAAGCGCTTGAAACGCAGATTCCAAATCTGCAGTTTCTAGCTGCGGAGCGGTTTTGTAGAAGGAGTTATGAAGGGTGTTTCCCTCTGGGGTTTAGGTGCCCTCCAGCGGTCTCCCCTTATCTGTAAGCACTGTAGAGGAGTGTCAGCTGATGGCAACTGACCTAGTGATAAGTAGCTTGAATGAAGATTCCAGTAAAGATTATAATACTCATATTACTTTGGTTTTTTTAACACTTCAAACTTCGATTGGTACCAATATCATCAGAAGTTTCATGCTTTAGGGCTCTAAAGCCATTTAGAAGTTCAATTTAGCATGCAAAGGGGATTAAAACCTTGACGCTCTCTTTATCAAGCACGTCACTTACCAGTAGGTCAGTTGCCACTAGTTGGTAGTCCTCTACAGCGCTCATAGGTAGGGGAGACCTAGTGGAGGGCGCCTCAACCCCAGAGGAAACACCTCTCATAACTCCCTCTACAAAACCGCTCCGCAGCTAGAAACTGCAAATTTGGAATCAGCGTTTCAAGCGCTCTAAGATGATCTATGTCTCATCTGGATTGGTGTTTTCGACTAAGTATCCTCTCCTTGTAAGTCGCGAAATTTGGTAGCTGCTCCGAGACAACGTATAAGGAGCGCTATAGTCTCTTCTGAACAACGACGAAAGAGAAACACGAAAATGCTTCTCTTGAATCGACTTGGTGATATATCTGTCTTATTATTAGTGACACCTGTTTTTGCGACCACAACTGATTTTCATCAAATTTTGGTCCGGATCTGCTTCATACAGTCTCGCTGAAAACTTCCGCTCGTATGAAAGTCACTGCAATTTTTTTTTGATCCTATTCATTGAGGTTTGGTAGGGTACTGTGCACTCAGAGACCTATATCAATAATAACAGTGGTAAAAAAAATCAAATCCTAGTTGTCTATTCGTAACTCGATTCGTATTTCAGCATGAAAGCTCAAAATGCAATACTTCGATAAAGTTACCCACATCTTCCACAGTTTGTACCTATGTGCTCTTTTTGGCTCAATGTTAGTTTGATGCAAAAGTTTTGTCAGTTTGGATGCAAAATTAAATTTTCTTTTCAGCTTCTAGCAGTTCCAAATGCTATGCTTCCGACGAGCGTTGGATAATAAGCGAAGCTTACAAGCTTTTATATCGAAGACGTTCTAAATTTCGCTAATTTCAAAATTTTCAGTTGAGACTTATGAGAGTCCTTCATAACCGGCAGAAAGGGCAAACCTTTCGCGAACTAAAACAATTTTTCATCCTTTCCAGCTTGTCTTTCAGAAGTTTCAAAAATTAGTCTTGATTTCTAAAACTGTAAGCGTATTTTCATCAAACATCGCAAGAACTTCAAATATTGAGGTCCCAAAACTTGATTATTAATACCACTCACCTAGCAAAGCAAATGCGATTTCGCTTCGAAATATGGAGGTGCTTTAGGATATGACAGACTGAGATTAACCTTAGTCTGCATTCTGTGTTATAGAAATGTTATAAGAAAGAGTACAGGGATCCCTGGGTGTCGCTGTCGTGCGGCTCGGGTCCTCGCGAGCCACATCGCTCGGGCCACTCGTCGCCTTTGCGAACGTCATTTCGCATACGGTATTTCTCATGCCTGGGACGTGGGAAGTACCGTACCCCTTAAGTGTCATTGGCTGACGGAGCTCGGGAAAATGTCACGAGGAGAGTTCGCGAACGCGGTGCGTGGCCTAAACCAGAGGGTTTGCGAGGAGCCAAATCCGCCGAACCGGCATTCAGAATGGGATCCCTTAACGTTCCTGCTGAAACGCGCTTATAAATTAGCCTTCAAATGATTGTAGCTAAGTCAATTGGCATGCATGTGTATTAGATTCAGATTCCCAATGAAAATCATTCTTCTTCATAATTAAGCTTCTCCACTTGTACCGCAAGTCTGCGCTGCTTTAGGTTCAGCTTTCTTTTCAACTGAAATAATGTAGATCTGAGGGTCAGTGTGCCTCAACTTTCGCAAAACTCACTTCTTTCATCTTCGTTCTTGCATCATCATCTGTGATGGCCGTGTCATTGTTGATCTTTTCAGCTTGTTCCAAGTAGTCCTCCACTGCTTTTAAGCCTTCGATTGCTTCGTCATACCGTGCTTTACGCAATTGCTTTTTCTTTTGCACTTTAGTTGCATATGCTTTCTGTAACTTGTTCATCTGGCCCTGTTTTGCTTGTAACTGCACCTGAACAAAATGAACTGGCAAACCTGAGTTTTCTCGTCTTGTAGTTCAAGGATCTCGTTGACAACTGCTTCCTTCGTAGTGCTAGAAAGCTTCGTTTTCGAAATATTTGAGACAGATGCAAGTAGGAAGTTACCGGTTTAGATGAACATTTTTTCTGAGAGCGTCTAGCAAAACTCTGTCTTTTACGTCTTTCACCAGACCCCTGAGCTCATTTACGAACACTGGATCATACCAGGCACTAACGATCCAAACTCCTATGAGGACCACCAATAAAGCAGCTTGCATTCCTGAAGAAACTGGTAGACGTAGTTGCAGAAAAGAGCTTTTACGAAGAAGGCAACACAAGACTGGCAATGCTATAATGGGATTCACTTTTTATATTCATGATTGATTTGCATTTTTAGCCATTCCGCGACATCTGCTTGAATGATTCGTTATATATATATTTATTTATTTATTCAATGCGCTCTTGGCTTTCGTTACAAGAGAAAAAACATGTTATGATGTGAAGCTTTCATTATCGGTCTATATCCAAGTGTTAAAAAAAGATGAGCAATTCTTCTAGTTATGGTATACAAAGTGTTTCAAAAATATGCACATACTGTTTGATCGTTAACACCTCTTTCGAAAGTTTTTTGTCGCCCTTTGCCATTCTATAGAGCTGGCTTTTTCTAATTGTTAAATTCACCGTACTCACTTCGATACTTGGATGGCCCGACCTCACGTGACTGCGGGCACCAGCCATTAAAGTTTCCATTTTTAACTGTCTCTCGCTTCAAACATCCACGATCTTCCTGGTTGACGTCGGTGGCTGCGTCCATGAGTTCCAGGTGCGAAAATCCTATCCAGTTGGTTTCTCAGCTGGTCCAGTCTTTCGCGAACACGTCTGCCCACCTCGCTGAAGGTCTCCCTTGGGCCACTCCGATGTTCTTAATGTCCATCGATCGCCTGTTCTTCGCATGCTGTTACCGGCCCATCGGTACTTTCGCAATGTATTCTGCTGGGTGACGGAGATGGGACATCTCATATCTGTACTGCGAAGTTCGACACGATGTTGTTTGTGTCGGCTCGTCTTCAGAAGACTGTGTGCCTAGCCTTTGTGGGTGGTCCTTAGAGCTTTCGGCGTGGCAACGATGCCAACCCAAGTCTTGAGTTCTTCCCTCAAGTCGTTCTCCATGTTCATCGAACGTCCGAGATACACATAAGAAGACGTCTCCATGACAGAGATGCCTTCCATTTCCAATTCTGCAACTTCGCAAAGGGCGTTCTTCATGGACTGAGTCTTCTTTCGATTTGTTCGCAATTTAATCTTCTTCCATACTTCGTTTCGTTCTTTTAGCATCGTATCTACTTCAGTGATATACGAGAAGAGAACGACGTCGTCCGCAAAACGAAGGTTTGACAGAAATCTCCCGTGAACTCGTATGCCTCTCTCGTCCCAGTTCAGTGATTTCATCATCCACAGCATGGCCGCGGTGAAGAGCTGATCCTCGGATGACTTCTATTTTTGTTAATTGTGATCTCTAATGCCACTCAAAGTGAAGGTCACCAGAGCAGCAGAGTGGTTCTATGTACGAAGATATGGACACAGTTATCCGTGTTTTGGGATATTTTTTGTTAAACAATAATCTATACTGCATTTTTTAGCGCGTGTAATCAACAAACCACTATTTCGAAAGAACGGCCCTTTCTAATCCACTTGGTTGTCGATCCTTAGCATCCTTTTCTAACATTGACTACTTTCTTTTCCTTGCATCATCTTTAACGCCATGCCTGTATATATTCCATCCTTTGGTGTTTTGGGAACATCTATTCCTACTTGAAGACAGTTTAAGGCAGTTCTTAAGACAGTTTATCTCGTGCGGGATGAAGGCGGAACAATGCTAATGGTTTGCTGAATGTGAAATCGACGTAGCAGAAAAGAGCTCACGATAGAGCAATCGCTCAGGATCACCGCAGACGTAAGAGTGACATTCTTCTCGACATAAGAGAAAATTTATCGCTAAGAACATCTACACCAACCTCTTCCGCTCATCGATAGTGCCGACCCTCATTATTTCTACTGGAGAAGTACCACCAAACTCTACCTGCTGAAGTACCACGATTCAGACCACGAAGACGTCCTCGGCTCCAGGGCCAAGCCTTCCGTTGAATTCCTGCGAGTCGGAGGACAACATTTACACAAGATCCTCGCGTCGCACCTAACATCTTACCTTCAGATCAGAAGGATTCCCGACCAGTAGTGAACGTCAAGAACCGTCCTTCTCTTCAAGAAAGATGAACAGGAGGATCTTCGGAACTACCGTCCAATATGCCTGCTGAGTGTGCTGTACAAACTTTTCACAAAGACTATCCTCACTCGCATAGTAGGGTACTGGAAGCCCTACCCCCAAGAACAAGCTGAATTTCGCAAAGGATTCAGCTACGTGAACCACATCCAGACGTTTTCGAAGTTCAAAGAAGTCTGCCGGGAGTACCGACTGCCTCTCGTCCTAACCTTCGTCGACTACAGAAAGCCTTCGGCAACGTCTAAACCAAAACCGTTCTGTCTGCGCTAGTCGGTCAAAAAGTAGACCCAGCCTATATGAAGACGTTAGTCGACTGCTACGAAAACTGTACAGCGACAACTCCATCGCCCCTTGATCATGCCGGTTGGAAAAGGGCGACGCGATCTCGCCGAAGCTGTGTTAAGATCATAACCACATCGGAATGAATGTCGATGTATTAAGTAGTGAGTAGTGTCTCAAAAATATCCCAACAAAACCGAAAAATTGCGTTTTTATAGTCTTCCCTGTGGTAAAAGCGAGGTTTTTCTAAATATTCTCATAAATATAAAGCTGAATGTTTGTATGTACCATTTCATCCAACTGGAGATAGACGCAGGTGCGTCGCGGGCGCGAGCGACCCTAATTAGGCCACGATGCCCCGTCTTCCCGAAGCCAAGCCAGTTGAATCAAAGGTTATGTACGTATCAGTGGCATACCCGAGACTTGCGCTGGGGGGGGGGGAGGGTACAGAAATTTTTTTTTTGATTTTTCGTTAGCCACGCACACCGAAAAAATTTTTGGGATGCTTCTCAGAATTTTTTCGAACTCTTAACCTCAAAATTTCAGAAAAAGGAGGAGAAGGTAGCCACACCCCCGAAAAAATTTTTTTCACAAGGCTAACTTGAATTGGTAGAAAATTTTGAAAATTATTTTAATTATTCATAAATAAAAACAAGTCTCTTGCATAATTCTATAACACATTTAAGCAATTTCCAAAAATTTCGCGACCCATTCTCGTGGTGGGGGCCCGCCGCCTCCCCCCCCCTCGGTACGCCACTGGTATGTATGTATGTATGTATGTTTGTATGTATGTTCCAAGTAGAAAATTCCGTTTCTCAACCGATCCGAACCAAACTTGGCACACATACACTTTGAGGCAGGACCGGTGCCATAGTCTACATTTTGTCATCGATCAATATCGATTTTATCGATGCTTATCAATTTCTTGTAAAGTTTGACCTATAAGGCTAAGAGTTAGTATAGGGGGTATTTGAGCATGCTGATTACGAATACAGTACTAGTTTTTACGCTACCTCTATCGATTTTATCGCTTCTTTGCAAAAATTGAACTGCGGGCTGGGAGCTGGCACAGGGAGGTAATCGAGCATGCTGATTTCTTAAACAGCTGGTATAAGGGAAATTGGCATGTAGAAGTGGGCACAGGGAAAGATTGTACAGGGGTACGGATGAAAGCTTTATCATAGTGTTTTGAGGGCGGGGCGGAGCCGCTCAGACAATCGACCGGACCCCTCCGTCGGACAGTCCGAATCTGCCAGAGTCGCGCCGGACCCAGTCGACCAATGAGAGCGGGGCAAATGGGCGGTCCGTCGCGGTGACATCACTGGCAGGCAAATGGGACGCTTCTCCGGCCCTGCTGCAAAGGTACGCCATTTCTTCGGCGCGGCTCTGCCAGATTTGGAAGAGCCGCGCCGCAGAAAATGGGAGGTATCCGGAGCAGAAAATGGGAGGGCTCAGGAGCAGAAATGGGAGGTCTCCGGAGCAGAAAATGGGAGGTATCCGGAGCAGAAAATGGGAGGGCTCCGGAGCAGAAATGGGAGGTCTCCGGAGCAGAAAATGGGAGGGCTCCGGAGCAGAAAATGGGAGGGCTCCGGAGCAGAAATGGGAGGTCTCCGGAGCAGAAAATGGGAGGTATCCGGAGCAGACAATGGGAGGGCTCAGGAGCAGAAATGGGAGGTCTCCGGAGCAGAAAATGGGAGGTATCCGGAGCAGAAAATGGGAGGGCTCCGGAGCAGAAATGGGAGGTCTCCGGAGCAGAAAATGGGAGGGCTCCGGAGCAGAAAATGGGAGGGCTCCGGAGCAGAAATGGGAGGTCTCCGGAGCAGAAAATGGGAGGTATCCGGAGCACAAATGGGAGGGCTCCGGAGCAGGCTGCGTATCAATTTGGCGCGTAGCAAGCAAACGTCTAACTCCACGGTGATGAGTCCTCTGTTTACCCTCTTTCTTCATATTTTAGTCGTTTTTTTTCGATTTTGTTGTTTCTCCGCGTTTCTTACCGTTTTTTTCTTTTCCCGTTGCTCTTCGTCGCGTTGGCGTTTATGTTGTTGTAAGTTCCTCGTTTTCAGGTTTATGTTTCAAATTTTCGTGCGGATGCACTCAATCACTTTCAGTGTTTGGCTCTTTTCGACTTGCTGAGACATCGTTGACTACTGATGGAGTAGTTTTTGTGATTAATTCTGGATTTTCGAAACAACAACAATTTTCGAAAGTATATAATTCGAGTAAAGTCCAAATGAAGTGTTCTTCCCATTTCAGTCAGAAAGCTTGCTTTTTTAGGTGCAGTGGATTTAGCGGTATTTGGAAGGTATATCTAAACTTTTTCGTACCCCTCAATATCGATACCTTATCAGGTGGCTGTATTCCGTGGATTATTGGATTCCGCAATGATAGATAGTTTGGGCAGTCTGAGTCCACTCATACTCGATTTCATCGACTCGATGAGAGAAAACCTCGAAAGCGATCTGGTATGCAGTTTTTACGTGGAAATGTAGTCCTTGTTAACAAGCAAGATTATATCAGGATCGTGACATAGCAGTGGTGACGATGATGCGGCTACACTATTCCAAACTTATTGCTGTGATCATTGATAATGTTAGTCCAGAAAATCGTGGCAGTCTCATTCCGGATGAAAAGAAGCAAAGCCTATTTTATCTATTCATCGGCTGGTGCAGCAGAACGATAGCAGCAGATAAAAAGAATAGGGAAAATGATGTATGTTTTCATGTGCTGTTCTATGCATCGCTGTTTATTTAATCTTTTTCATTAAGGTTGGTTCATACGTGGAGCAAAAGG